GGCGCCGAGCCGCATATTTCTGTAAGTAAAAACATCGCCAAAATTCTAAATAAAGACCAAAACACTTCTAATTTGAACACTGAAATAAATGTGAGCTATATATCCATTTAAGAAAGATTAACAAAAACATGTAAGATAACAATTTAGCCAATTATTCCAGTTCAGAGTTGATGGTGGCCAGGGCCTACCCCAGCAGTTTAGGGCACAGAACAAGAACCAATGCCTGGACAGGATACCATTCCATCCCAGGGCACACTCACGCTCCACACCTACGCTTCCTTAGACTGGGACTTTATAGACATGCCAGGGAACCTAACATGCCCCTCTCTGGGATTTTTTTTTTTCTCATTATCATTATCACAAAACAATGAATGAAATGACAATATTTGAGGACCTCCTAGCTATCTTCCTTGAGGTAAAGCTACAATAACTATAAGAAAACATTCCAAAATATGCAAAATGGCTAATTATTATAACAATTAATAGAAACTGGCTGTTTCATTATTTTTATTTCCTTCCCTTGCAACAGGTACCATTTTTACTGTCTTTTTGAATACATTTGGCACCTGGATTAATAATTCATAGAATCCACAGAGCAAACAAAAAGGAAACAGACTGTAATTGAAGGAAATAAACCACTAAGAGGGAAAAAATTTGAAAGGATGGAATGGAATAAGGGAATGGGACTTTGTTATTTTATACCATTTTTGGAAACAAATAGATACACAGTAAGGTACAGAAACCAAGAAAACTAACAACTTTTGATTCAAACTGGATTATAACTTGGCAAATTAAAATGGGGTCACATTTTCACAAGACTCAAATTCTTATTCTTCCAAGAAGAAGAAAGAAGCAAAATGGGTTTGGTGCCTATAGCTCAGCGGCTGTGGTGCCAGCCATATACACCAGAGCTGGTGGGTTCAAACCCAGCCCAGGCCTGCCAAACAACAATGGCAACTCCAACGATAAAAACAGCCAGGTGTTGTGGCGGGCTCCTATAGTCCCGGCTGCTTGGGAGGCTAAGGCAAGAGAATCACATAAGCCAGAGGTTCTTAGCCTATGAGTCATGACCCACAGGAACTGGATTAAAGAGTCACAGCATTAGGAAGGTTGAGAACCACTGGCTTAAGCCCAAGAGTTGGAGGTTGCTGTGAGCTGGGATGCCACAGCACTCTTCTGAGGGTGACATAATGAGACTCTGGCTCAAAAAAAAGAAAGAAGCAAAACGAAGAAAGCAAAGGTAACCAAACATTCCTAGAAAAAGTAACTGTGCCAACAATGCAAAGGGGTGGGAAGGCAAGTGTGTAGGTAGCCATATAATCCACAATGGGAAAGACCAGTAAGCTTACTACAGAATGCCTGCCTGTGTACTAAAATTGTGCGGACTTAAATATTAATTTAAATAACTTAATGCTGGAGCTTGGAGACTTTGTTTTCAATTACACAGGTATTTTTGTTGTAATGGAATTTGATCTGTATTTTCTTCTTTGTCGATCTAAGATTATACTTTTCTTCCCATTGTATGCTCAGGCTTTTTGATAAAGCTGTCTTTCTCAGGAGCTTAACCCAGCTCTGTGTTAAGGTGTTGTAACACAACACCTTTAGAAGTGACATAGAATTAGAAACGTCCTCATCTCTCTACCAAAATAATTAACCCAACTTCCCTAAGGAGCTCCAGGGCAATGACAAGGATCTGAATGAATTTAGCCTTTGCACTCACTGAAACAAAAGTGAAGCAGAGCCCAGCTCCCCTCTGTGCCAACTGCTCCGTGTCAAGCCGAGGCTTTGCTAGCATCACCGACATGAGGGTTGGGAGGGCAGACTGCTCCTCTGATGCCTCCTTTGCAGCACTGCCATCTAAGCCATAAAGGGGCTGCTCTACTCGCCGCTGGAAAACATTGAAAAAATATGCAAATTACATGAGAAAGAGAATCTGATATTACCCAAAAATGCAATAGGTAAAAACAAAAGTACCAAATATAAGCTGATTAAAAAAAAAAAAAAGACTTCTCTGAAAATAATTATGGAGAGTACAACAACATTATGATGGGATTATAACCTGTCTAAAAACTAGAAATTCTATGACATTATATTTCTATGACATTATATTTCTATGTCTATATTCTATGACAATATATAGTTCTATATTTGTATTACCCTGAATTTACAGATTACTCTGTAGAGTTCAATAAATCAACTCATAATACCCTAATCCAATGTTATTTCTATCCTGCAGGTTAACAAAAATTAAGACATTTGTCCTATATTTAGCTTAATTCACTCTCAGCTCTATTTTCACGATATTATACTTAGATGTGAAAATGTAAAACACACAAGCAAAACAAGTTCCACAGTATACTAAAAGAATAATATAACACAACTATGTATAGTATTCCATAAAAAAGAATGGTTCAATAATAATAGATATGATGATGGTACTCATTACACTCATGTTAGGGAGAAAAATTATGATTCTGCCCTTTGGGTGACAGAAAGGATATGCACATTATTAAGCAACTCTTTTTTTTTTTTTTTTTAAGAGACAGAGTCTCACTTTGTTGCCCTCAGTAAAGGGCCGTGAAGTCAAAGCTCACAGCAACCTCCAGCTCCTGGGCTTAGGCGATTTTCTTGCCTCAGCCTCCTGGGTAGCTGGGACTACAGGCGCCCGTCACAACACCCAGCTATTTTTTTTGCTGCAGTTTGGCTGGGGCGGGGTTTGAACCCGCCACCCTACTCACTGCGCCACAGGCACCGCCCTAATGGGCAACTCTTAAAAAAACTTAAAGTATCCCCCTTTAATAAATCAAAGGATTTTTTTAAAACATTAACATAAAATATCATAACAATGTTACAATATTCATCAAAGTTATAAACAAGACAGGAACACATATTAACACATTCAACATTATTATAGAAGCTTTAGCCAATGTAATAAAATAGAAAAATATGAGGTATAAATACTAGAAAACATTAAAGATTTAAAAAGTGTCATTTTTGGATGATATAACTATTCACAAAGGACGCTAAGCAAATCAACTGAAAACCTACTGTAACAATTAACAGAGGCCAGTAAGATGGCCCAAATACAAAATAAATATACAAAAATTAAAAGCTTCCTCATATAACAAACATTTGATCATAACTGAGCATGTAATAGAAGGAAAAGCAGATTCAAAATAGCAAAAGAAACGTATAAAATACTTGAAAGTAAACATAAGAAATGTGCAGGATACATGTGAAGAAAAAACTATACATGTTCACAGATAAGATGACTTAAATGGTAATGCCACATTCCAGGGTTCAAACTGTACAGAGGTCGAATTTCTCTAAAAACCAATGTTTAGGGTTTTTTGTATTATGCTTTGGCATTTCCCCTGCACACAGGGAAATGCTGTGGTGGGAAAGTGGTCATCTAGGTTCTATCTTACTCTTTTGGGGGTTGTTTTATAGAATCTCACAAATTAATTCTAATGTTCACTCGTAAAGATAATCAAATTAGCCATGTAGTTGTTATAAAGAATATCAGTAAAATGTGACCAGATAACAAAACTACTACAAAGCTCCATTAACTTAAGCAGTATTAAACAGGCACAGGAATAGAGTGACTAATGACAAAGAACAGCAAAATCAGAAACAGATCCATATAATATGAATATATAGTTTGTGATTAAAGCATATTTCAAATGAGTGGGAACCTGTTAAAAAGACAGTAAGATATTTGTGTAGGTAGTAGATAAAAGTACATTACTATCATATATAGCAGACATAAAATTATAAGAATAAAACACAATGTTTTTTATAACTTTCTAGCAGTGAGAAGGACTTTTAAAACATGACATTAAAAATACAGATTTTAGCTGGGCATGGTGGCTCAAACTTGTGATCCTAGCACTCTGGGATGCCGAGGCAGGAGGAACCCTTGAGCTCAGAAGTTCAAGACCAGCCTGAGCAAGAGCAAAACTCTATCTCTACTAAAAACAAAAATTAGCTGGGTGTTGTGGTAGGAACCTGTAGTCCTAGCTACTTGGGAGGCTGAGGCAGGAGGATCACTTGAGCCTAAGAGTGTGAGGCTGCCCTGAGCTACGATGATGCCATAGCAGTATACCCAGGGTGACAGAGACTCTGAGTCTCAAAACAAATACATATGTACATGTATATAACATTTATAGGAACATGTAAGATTAACATAAGTCATAAAGGGAAAACTTGATAAATTTGACTACTATAAAAAGTCAGCATAAAGTTAAAAGATAAAGTTATAAAAAGTCAAGAAAAAATTTTTTTGAGACAGAACTTTATTTTCTCACCCTGGGTAGAATACCATGGCATCACAGCTCACAGTAACCTCAAATTCTTGGGCTCAAGTGATTCATTCTCTTGCCTCGGCCTCCCAAGTAGCTGGGACTACAGGCATCCGCCACAACACCCAGCTATTTTTAGAGACAAAGTCTCACTCTGGCTCAGGCTGGTCTCAAACCTGTGAGCTCAGGCAATCCATCCACCTCGGCCTCCCATGTATTGGTATTATAGAGGTGTGAGCTACTGCACCTGGCCAGCTGTCAAAAATATTTTAAATATAATGACAGTAAGTTAACAACCTTAATAAATAATGTGCTCCCACCCACCAGTAAAACAATTAAAATATTCCAAAACAAATAGGCAAAAGACTAGCATTATAAGAGAAATTATTGGGTACAGTGGCAACACCTGGGGTCTCAGATACTGTGGAGGCTGAGGCAGGAAAACAAGTTTGAGCCCAGGAGTTCAAGAACAGCCTAGGCAACACAGAGAGACCTCATCTCTCTCTCTCTCTCTCTCTCTCTCTCTAATAGAAACAGGTTTTTATTCTGTGGCCTCGCCTGGAGCACACTGGCACAACCACAGTTCGCTGCAACAATTCAGCCTTAGTCTGAATAGCTAGGACTATAGGTGCACCACATTTGGCTAAATGCTATATTTTTAATAGCCTTGTTGTCCAGGCTGGCCTCAAACTTCTGGGCTCAAGCCAATCCTCCTAGTTAGGCCCCACAAAATGCTGGGAATACAGGTATGAACCACTGTACCCAGCCCATAATGACATTTTTAAATGACCATACTCTGACTTGGGAATTACAATTAGGGGATTTATCTCAAGGGGAAAAAAAAACCATGTAAGTACACAAGTATGTACAAGGATATTCACTGTAGCACTATTTATAAAATCAAATGTTTATAGAATATCAATTAATAGAATGGAAATAAGAAAATCTACTGTGTAAACGTACATGTGGATATACAGGTCTACAAATATTTATTCACTTCACTCTTTAGAAATAGTTCTTTTGGAGGAGACTTTCCATTTTACCACTTCTGAATTGTCAAACTTTCATACTCAGCATCATATATATCTTTACCAGGAAAAGCTATTTAACATTTTCTTTTCTTTTTCCTTTCTTCCTTTTTTTTTTTTTTTTTTTTTTTAAGAGATAAGGTTTCTTTCTGTTCCTGTTACCCAGGTTGGGGTAGCAGTGGCACCAACATAGCTCACTGCAGCCTGGAACTCCTAGGCTTAAGCAATCCCCCCACCTTAATATCCTATGGAGTTGGAGCTATAGTTGTATGTTAACACACTCAGCCAATATTTTTTTGGCAATGAGATAAGATCCTGCAGTGTTTTCTAGGCTGGTCTCAAACTCCTGATTTCAAGTGATCCTCCTGCCTATGACTCCAAAAATGCTAGGATTATGGCTCAGCAGCTGGAGTACCGCCAGCCACGTACACCAGAGCTGGCGGGTTTCAGCCTGGCATGGGCCTGCCAAACAATAACAACTATAACCAAAAAAAAAAAAAAAAAAGCCGGGCACTGTGGCGGGCGCCTGTAGTCCCAGCTATCTGGGAGGCTGAGGCAAGAGAATTGCTTAAGCCCAAGAATTTGAGGTTGCTGTGAGCTGTGATGGCACAGCACTCTACCAAGGGTGACATAATGAGACTTTGTCTCAGAAAAAAAAAAAAGAAAAGAAAAGAAATGCTGGGATTACAGGTGTCACTCATTACAACTGACCGGTTTAAAATTTTCATTTTAGAAAATAAAAGTAAAAGAAACTAATTAAAATGATCCTGGCAAAGGAATTTAGTTTGTAGATCTATGACTAGAGTACTCCTCAAGATCAACACTCTGACCCCACCAAATACAACAATTAAATTCAGGCTTCAGAACACCTGTGGTACCCATTTACCACAATATTTTCACTACATGGGAGAATGTATCTCTGAAACTACAATATAAAAATTAATCAGTCTGTCATTACATATGCAATAAGTATCTGCCAAGGATTGAAAAATTTTAAAAGATATTTCTTAAATTATGGCAGGTTAAGATGTGTGAACCAATCTTCCCTTGAAAAAACTGTAAGGGCTCAACTCCTGTGGCTCAAGTGTCTAAGGCGTCAGCCACATACACCTAAGGTGGCAGGTTCAAATCCAGCCTGGCCCACCAAAACAACAATGACAGCTGCAACCAAAAAAATAGCCTGGCATTGTGGCGGGCACCTGTGGTCCCAGCTACTTGGGAGGCTGAAGCAGGAGACTCGCTTGAGCCCAGGAGTTGGAGGTTGCTGTGAGCTGTGATTCCACAGCACTCTACCCAGGGGGATAGCTTGAGGCTCTGTCTCAAAAAAAAAAAAAAAAAAACCCACGAAAAAACAAAACAAAACAAACAAACAAAAAAACTATAAGGCCAGGCACAGTGGCTCACACCTATAATCCTAATACTCTGGGAGGCCCAGGGAAGTGTATCCCTTGAGCTCAAGAGGTCAAAATTAGCCTGAGTGAGAGTGAGACTCAAGTCTCTACTAAAAATAGAAAAAATTAGCCAGGCATTCTAGCCTGAGCCTATAGTCCCAACTACTT